AACCCAGCAGACTTTTCTGTAAGTTCCCAGCATTAATTAGTACTGAGTTTTAAGATGTGATTAACCCAAAGACAAAAGTAGAAACAAACATCTGTTAATAAAATCACAAAATTTAGCCGGGCTCAGTGGCTCAGCCTGTAATCCTGCACCTTGGGAGGCTGAGGTGAGTGGATTGCCTGAGCCCACAGGCTTGAGACTCACCTGGACAACTTAGTGAGACCTCATCTCTACAATAAAAAAAAAAAAATCAGCCAGGCATGGTAGCGCGCGCCTGTAGTTCCAGCTACTTGGAAGGCTGACGCAGAAGGATCGCCGGAGCCCAGCAGGTCGAGGCTGTGGTGGCCGGGAGCACTGCACTCCAGTCTGGGCGACAGAGTGAGACTCCAACTCACACACACACAAAAAATCACAAAATTTAAGAACTGGGTAGATGATCTACTTTTAACTCCTTGTTTCAAAGAGACTGAGATCAGAAGAGGTTGACCTGATTTGTTCAAGGTCACACAAGTTAAGGACAGAGACATGGTTAGAGTTTTCTAACTCCTTTTCCAATGCTCTTTTTAATACATAAACTGTTATAGGAAATTAAGAAGAAATTCTGAGAGAGAAAAACTACCTTTAATTACAAACATGAATGAACCATAACTCAGATGCTCTTAATAAGCCCTAAATTAAAATTATGTTTTATGGGGAAAAAAGTAAGATGTAAAGGAAGTCAAAGCTGAAAAATAATAGATCGCTCTTCTGGGATATGGCCTTTGTGCGGGTCAATCCAGTTACAATCAATTTTAAGAGCCTGTTCCAATTATTTTTTAGTTCTGGAATTATTTCATATTGAATAATACTCAAAATTAGGATCCTGGCTAGAGAGCAGAAATCTTTTTTTTTTTCAGTTGGAGTCTTACTGTCACCCAGACTGGAGTGCAGTGGCCGGCCGGAGCGGCCACTGCAGCCTCAACCCCACTTCCATTTCATTCGGATTATTCAAAGTGTAAACACTCTGCTTCATTGTTGTTGAACTTAACTTCCTCAACATTCCTGTATATCTAAGAGTAAGATCTTGTGAGACACATGGAGGATAAAGATTTTGCCAGCATTCAAGTTGTAAGATACATACTCACAGGAAGACTGACTTTCATACGCATAGTTTTTACAAAACTACCTAGAAAGAACATTTGGTTCTAAACCAGGGGAAGTGAGGACCAGTTGGAGGCCCACACTTCACCTGCACGTAGACTACTTATGTACCTAATCCTGTCTTGTACCCCGCATCTCTACAATAAAATAAAGTAATATAAAAAATAAAAATTAAGTGGTGCTTGAATGGTCAAGGAGTCATGGAAGACTATTTTAACCGATTCATTTATCAAATTTAAATGGGTTTACAAGTGCTAGGTAAGAAAGACAGTGTCTCTGGGCTTTGTCAGTACTGGGTAGAAAGAATAAAAGATATGTGTTGCATACATATAGGACTTGAATTCTGGGTCAGCAGGAAGTATAGGTAAAAATAAAGAGATCAACACAACAGATTGAGATGGTTATTTCTCAAACATGAAGTGTATCTGTGAGTCTATGAAAGTAAAACTAGGTAAATGAAAGATGGGATACATTTAAATATTTTGAAAAGTCTACTGTATTGGAAAAATACAAGGAACTCTGTGAATACAGGTCCACAGATTGCTGGAGTGGACACAGTGAAGACATACATGGTTTTGTCTACTACATGCCAGCCTAGGACTCTGCACAACCCGTCTGTTTAATCCTGACAGCAGCCCTTTCAGGTGGGCACCATGACTGTCCTGTTTTGCAAACAGGGAACAAAGGCACCTGGTCAGGGAGCAGCAGAGTCGGATTTCAAACCCCGCCGGGCCAACTTCAGCACATGTGTGCGCTGCACTGAACGACAACGGCTGGCTGCTACTTAAAAACCGTCAGCCTGGCTGGGCTCAGTGGTTCAGCCTGTCATCCCAGCACTTTGGGAGGCCGAAGCAAGTGGATTGCCTGAGCCCACGGGTTCAAGACCAGCCTTAGCAACTTGGCAAGACCTTGTCTCTACAATAAATCAAAAAATTAGCCAGGCATGCTGGCACATGCCTATGGTTCCGGCTACTTGGAAGGCTGAAGTGCAAGGATAGTCGGAGCCCAGCAGGTTGACACTAGTGTGGCCGTGAGCATGCCATTGCACTCCAGCCTGGGCAACAGAGTGAGACTCCAACTCAAAAAAAAAAAAAAACCTGTCAGCCTTGTTGAACTTATTTTTTAACCACTCTGTTATCAAAATGTAAAGACATGTATGTTTTAATTCATGAAGCCCCTCAGTCCATGACTGTCCTATCTTGAAGAAGACACCATTCACGAACGCTGCTCCCTCAACCCTTGGCCTCCTCTGTGTCAGCAAACCCACATTATGAGAACCAGTTGTGACTGGTGGCTTTCACTCACGGGGGTTTTCTCCAGTGGAAAACATCGTTATGTTCAAGCTCTGTGTCTCCCCTGGTTCTACTGTTCCCTGTGACGTTAGTGCTGGAGCTCTCCGTGCCCCGGGGGCTGCGTGGCGAGGGTCTCCCTCAAGCTTTCATGCCATTCCCAGGTGGGCCTCGTCTGAGCCACAGTCTGCCTCTCTCCCAACTCCATCCCCTTGCTTTTTTTTTTTTTGAGTTGAAGTCTTACTCTGTCGCCCAGACTGGAGTGCAGTGGCCACTCCTGGCCACCGCAGCCTCGATCTGCTGGGCTCCGGCGATCCTTCCGCCTCAGCCTTCCGCGTAGCCGGAATTACAGGCATGCGCCACCACGCCCGGCTGATTTTTTGATTTATTGTAGAGATGAGGTCTCGCTGCCCAGGCGGGTCTCGAACCCGCAGGCTCCAGGCGATCCACTCACCTCAGCCTCCCAAAGGCGCGGGATTACAGGCTGAGCCACTGAGCCCGGCTCCTTTCTTTTCAAACCTTCTTGAGGGCCCCTGCCCCGGTTCGACACAACGCCCTGCAGCTTCCAAGGCTCCAGGATCCCCTATGGGCAGGGCAGGGTGGGGCGTGTGGGCAGGGGACACCGGAAAGAGCGGTTTGCTCAGGACACTGGACTCCACACGGAGTTTTGTTAGCCCCTGAGGTGACACAGACATAATCTCTTTTCTGAAAAAAGTGTATTCAAACAAAGCCTCATGGCCCCTCCTAATCAAGTCGCCATGCCAGTCCTTCTCATAGAAACATCTGAAAAACCAGCACTGACTTTGCACTAAATTAGTAATCTTTATTATGTATGTATTTTGAATTGGGGTCTTACTCTGTTGCCCAGGTTGGAGTGCAGTAGCACAATCTCAGCTCACCACAGCCTCAACCGTTTGAGCTCAAGCAATCCTCTCACCTCAGCCTCCCGAGTACCTGGGACTACAGGGGTGCACCACCATGCCCAGTTCATTTTTAATTTTTTTGTAGAGACAAGTTCTCGCTATGTTGCCCAGGCTGGTCTCAAACACCCAGACTCAAGCAGTCCTCCGGCTTCAGCCTCCCAAAGTGCTGGGATTCCAGGCGTGAGCCACTGCGCCCAGTCAATAATCTTTATAAGATGCAAATGTAGTCACGCTGCACCCTTGCCTCCGTCCCCAGGGTCTAGACTCTCAGAGCATCATCTGAGGCTCCTCATGATTCCACCACCTTCCCCTCCTCGCCCCTTCCCCTTGCCCATGCCTGATGACCCGGCCATCTTGAGTAACTGCATCTCTCCAGGCACACCTTGCCCTCTGGGGCCCTCACGTGTTGCCCACGCACTCCCTTTGTCAGGAACATCCGTCCCCCGCTGGGACACCGGGCTAACTACAGGTCCTGAGAGTCAGCCCAAGTGCCGTGTCCTCTACAGAGGCCTCCTCAACCATCAGACTTCCCTTCCTTTCAGAACATCTTCCCACAAGAGGAGCACTGGCACCTTCCTCCTCTGAAGCCCCAACACCCGGAGCCTAAGTGCCTATAGTGGGGCGTGGCCGCACGTGGTTCCATGGTCCTCACACTGTTCCGTTTCCACCTTGTACTTGGTGAGAAAATCTGCTCTACCACATATTCCATTTACCTCCCTGCTTAACACAGCACCTGGCAATTAACACTGAGGGTATGCGTAATGCATTGGTTAAATTCTCTCTGCCACGCCGTAATGGAGATATGAACACTAAGGGAAAATGTAAATAACACTGAGAGTCCTGTTCACAGAAATGAAATATCTGAGTGTTGTGGTTTTCATTATACAACTAAAAGATTAAACTCGCCATATAGACATATAGGAACTTTTAGACTTTCATGTCTCCCTAGTTTAAATAATATTTTAAAATAAAATATAATATTTGTTTAAAGTAGAGTAAGGCTGGGTACAGTGGCGCACACCTGTAATCCCAGCACCTTGGGAGGTCAAGGCAGGCAGATTGTGTGAGGCCAGGAGTTTGAGACCAGCCTGGACGACATAGCGAGACCCGTCCCTATAAGAAAAAAAGTGTAGCAGTTCTAATTTAAGAACCAGTTTATACATGCCATATTAGTTCTATTTGCTTGGTTGCTGTGAAGTAAAGCATCTTTTTAACTACAATAAATATTTTAATTATGCTAAAGTTGTTTGTTTTATAAATCATTCTTTTTTCCCTAAAGGAAGGCCACGCATGGAATGCAACACCTTTTCGTGGCCCTGTAACAAGATGTACAAGATGGTACTATCGTGTGAGATTTGGGGTCATTTCCTACTAAGACTGCCAGCCTCTTACAAACATTAGGACTTGCAGATGCACAGTGCACGTTCAGAAACGAGAAGAGACCACGAAATGCGTGGCAGTGATGGAGCGGGCAAGGAAAACGGCCCATGTCCCAAGGCGTATCAGGACTGTGGAAACGAACGTGACTGGAAGTGGGTGGGGATTCAGAACCAATTTCCGTCTTCAGACGAGGGCAAAGCCTGCTGGAGGAGCATTTCCTGCAGCAGAAACCCCCTGCAGCCCTGGCTAGGTGCGGGCGGCAAGCAGTAACCTGAGGGGAGCCCGCAGGCACGCAGGGCCCCGGGCTGGCTCTTCGACACCAAGTGCAGCAGGTTGAAGGCAGACATCACTGTGGCCGATCTTCACCCACCGACAAGAGGCAGAGAGCGGGGCGAGAGCTGGGCGGGAGAAGAGAAGACGGAAACTGGATTAGAGCTTCACCCAGACGGAAACTGGATTAGAGCTTCACCAGTGTTGCAGCATTCGCTGTTCCCCACGCCACGGAGTGGGACACGCGCACACGTGGCTAGTAAATTCCCGACACCCATTTCTCCGGTGTCGAGCTAGCCTCAACCCAGGCGCGCCCCTGAGGGATGGGGAGAACGCACACTGGATCACAGCAGTGTAATCTGTGAACACAGCATGCAAGAGGTGGAAGGAGAGGAAGTTTAAAACAGTTGAAAGCCATTAGCATTGACTGAGTTCAGACCATGTGACAGGAACTGTCTGGAGCCTCATAGACACGTTGTAGCACTTAATTCCCACAGTAAACCCAGGAGGGAGGTTTTAGCCCCAATGCAGATGCGAGGAACCCGAAGCTCCCAGGTCCAAAGGCACAAAGCAAATAGGCAGGGAGGGAGGCCTGGACCTCCCCCTCGGAGCAACTGCGAAGCCCAGCTCCCTGCTGCCTCCTCCATCTACAAATTGCCCTCCCTGGAGAAGGCTGTAAGGTATCATGAGATGAAGAGATTTCTTGTGTTAGATCTTCATTTTTTTTAACTAGAGAGCCAAAAAGCACAAGAGACTTCACTTTTTAAAAAGTGTGAAGTTTGAATAAAGCACGGTGGAGATGGATTTTTGTTTAGTTTTATGATTTATAATTTTTTTATCAATTCTGTGAATGCTATTTATGACCCAGTGTTTAAAAAAAAGGGTAAAAAAAAAGGGTTAAAAAAAAGGTCATCGTCTTTGGAAATGAATCACGTGGAAGAATCTCAAAACCGCTCAGAGGTTCCACTTTAAAGTCCCATTCAGGTTTTCTTTAGCGTGTTGTATACTATTTCCGATGTAAAGAGCAACTTCAAGTGAAAATGGGAAACACCAGATTCATATCCACCTCTTACATGTTGTTTAAAGTGAGCATTTTACATGGCTTTAACCACTAGACGGCCAAAAATTAATATAAAATTAATGTCTTGCTCATTTCCTGAAAGCCCGCCCGCCCTCCACCCAGCCCGAACTAAAAGTCTCTCCTGACTTCCTCGAAGACAAACATATAATAAACAGCAATATATTTTACCAGATCACTCTGGAGTACATCTGACAGGAATCTGCTTGTATTAACATGCCTGAACTCTGACTTCTCCAAACTAAACCCGCAGCAAGACGGAGGCATCTTGGTGTGCCTGGCCAGAGACAAAGGGGGGGAGGCCGGGAAGGTGAGTCTCACAAGGCCTGGCGAAAGCGCCCCTCAACATAAATAAACATGTCATTCTCACGAGTGACTGCAGAGCAGGGCAGAGAGCTTTCCTTTGGAGCAGACACCGCCTCATAAAAGATCAAAGGTCTGTACCTCACAACACCATAAATAAAAATGCACTTTTCCCCGTGACCCTTCCCGGCGCATGTAATTACGGAGCGGGCTGCAGCCCCCACCCCCGCCCCGGCCGGCCATAAAATGTCTTCCCAGGCTGCTCCATCAAGGCCGTACCAGGCGGGCTGGGCGCCTCCCGACCACCACGGCCATCTGGCTTGTGTCAAAGCCAGCGCACAGGAAGAGAGGCAGTGATGTCACTCGGCAGGTCAGGGAGAGAACAAAGATGCATTCTGCAATTAAAAGCGTAGGGCTGCAAGGACGGAGGGCCGCAAGGACGGGGGCCCTCTGGCGAGATGTGACTGTGATTTAATGTCGTGACGGCGGCCTGGGCTGCTCCCAAAACAGCCGGGGCTCCATCTAGTGGCAAATCCATTCTGCCCAGGTTTTTCTAAGCAAGGGCACCTGGGGAGGGAGCTCTGAAAGGGGGTTCTTTTCTAGCACTCCAGTCTTTTCATGCAGGAGAATGAACGCGAAAGGCATGAGTCGGCGCCCTGCTCTCCATTTCAGATCCTGCAAAGGGTGCGTTTCGGAGGCTGGGGCTTGGTACCATCTTGATTACTTCGCACTCGCCAGGAGAGTAGGAGAAGCAGCCGAGTCTGAAGAACGCAAGCCGGTGGCATTACTCACAAGCCCCCTGGAAAGCATGTCACTGGCAGGGAAAAGCGGCTCTGAAGATGCTGCGGCATCCAGGAGCCTTGGCTACCCCAGGCTCCTAAGCTCACAGCCCCATGGGACAAGGCATCAGAGCTAGGATGGCGCCAGCGTGCGTTTTCATGCTGAAATGCCTTCACAAAACTGCTTTTAGCTCCTGTTTTCCACTTGACTTACATCTGCAGTGAGTGAAATAAAGCACTTTGACAGATACACGGGACACACAACACATTTGCACGAAAGATGGAACAGACCCATGGACCCAGCCTGTCTGAGTACGAATCCTGGCCATGCCTGTAACTAACCTGTGACCTCAGACCAGTCGTCCCCTCCCCCCCAAGTGCCTCAGTTTCCTCAACCATAAAATGGTGATTAAGTAAAGTTCGTTGGTAAAAAGCACTTGGGAGAATTCCTGGTACACGACATAGGCCCAGGACATATTAGAGGTTATCATGATTTAAATATGACAAATACTTGCTATAATTAATTGTATGAATTAAAAAATTCTAGCAGTCCACTTAAACCTAAACCCCGACCGGGCACGATGGATGGCTCATGCCTGTCATCCCAGCACTCTGGGAGGCCGAGGTGAGTGGATTGCCTGAGCCTGTGGGTTCAAGACCCGCCAGGGCAACATGGTGAGACCTTGTCTCGACAATAAGTCAAAAAATTAGCTGAGCCTGGTGGCACACGCCTGCAGCTCCAGCGACTTGGAAGGCTGAGGTGGAAGGATCTGAGCCCAGCAGGTCGAGGCTGTGGAAGCTGTGGCAGCTGTGAGCATCCCAGCCTGGGCGACAGAGTGAGACCCCGACTCAAAAATAAGTAAATAAACCCAATTCCACTTGGAATTAACAACCCATTCTCCAGAGAACCCTATTCAGGCCGAAACTTACTACTCTCTGCTGACTTCCACCGTGAATGACCCCGAAGAAGTCCTCAAGCCACCAGCCGACGAGGCGCAGGACCTGTGCGCTCTGTCCTAAGTGCTTCCCAGGCACTAGCGCCTTTAACCCGCACAACCTTCGGAGGGGCACGCACAGTTCTCCAGCTCCTAGAGGTAGAGGCTGAGGCGTGGGAGGCTGAGCAGCTGGCCCGAGGGCCCACCGTGAGCACCCTAAGGAACAGGGTGAAGCCCAGCTCTTCGGCTCCAAGGCCAGTGCTCCTGGCCCCACGGCAGGCAACCAAGAGCCTTACCACCCCACGCGAGGTACTAGGATCCTGCTTCCCTCCTCACGCGTGGCAAGGACACTTTGTTCAAGAAGGTGATCCCAAGAGGCTCCCCTTGACACGGAGAGAAAGAGAGTACAGAGTTGAGGGAGCGACAGTCCGAGATGTTCTCAGTTTCCAGGCTCGCTCCTCCGCCCCACCAGATGCGATTTCAACTGATTCCACCTCCGGAATGTTCCTCTCACCTGCCTGGACACACGCTAGGACTGCAGAATCTAGCAAAGCTTCAACATGTCGTTAAGATGCCACATCCCCCTCCCAACGTCCAAAGATTCAGGGTTCAACTTGGCGGCTCCCACCAGCTGTACCCCTGAACTGCCTGAGTGAGGACCCGGCCAGAAACAGCCCTCGTCCAAAAAGAGGCCAAAGACTGGCACTAAACACCCTGCAGGAATCAGCCCTTAGAAAGGACAACCAGAAAACCCCTAATTCTCCAAGCTTATCTCACTTCTTCACTGCCTTGGACTCAAACACCAGCATGGATGGATGCCATTTACAGATAGTCAACTTTTTTTTTTTTGGAAAGCCAGACATGATATTTTATGAATCTTTCTAATTTCCCAGAATATCTGGTACTTTTTTTTTTTTTTTTGAGCTAGAGTCTCACTCTGTCTCCCAGGCTGGAGTGCAGTGGCATGCTCACAGACGCCTCAGATGATCGATCCTTCTGCCTCAACCTCCCAAGTAGCTGGAACCACAGGCACGCGCCACCATGCTTGGCTAATTTTTTTATTTATTGTAGAGACAGGGTCTTGCCAAGTTGCCCCCGCTGGTCTCAAACTGATAGGCTCAGAAATCCTCTCACCTCCACCTCCCAAAGTGCCAGGATGACAGGCGTGAACCACCACGCCTTGCTATCTGGTACTTAATATTTGAAAATAGTGTTTAAAAAATACTGGTCAAACATATACCTAAAGGGTCATGGCACACTATGTGCTGAGAAGAGCTAGATTCCATAATCATCTATAAATTCCTGCTTAAAGCTTTTGACGTGAGTCTATAATACTGAGTGATCTATCACAGAAACAAAGAACCGAGTATCACATGTTCTCACTCATAAGTGGACCTTGAACAATTATCATAATACTATAAGAAAA